CCAGAGCTTGCCTCAAATACCCTTCTTGTTATGTACTGTCGGGTCAGTCAGCCATGGCAAGCATGATGTCTTTCCCCAGGGGCTGGCTTCCTCCCGAGAGCACGCCCGAGGCATGTGAGCCGAAGATGGGTGCAAATAGTCAACCGCTCTATTCACGTGCAGGTATTTGTGCCGCCCAGGGACTCCTTGTCAGATGATGGTCCTGAACCTGCACATGGAATTGAAAGGATGAAAACAAAACACGGTTCACTAGGAAAAGAATATGTGTTTTTTAAGCCAAATATGATATTTTAAAAATCTTACAATATATGCTTCTGAGTGAAATGTTGTCATGGGCCGTCCAGTCGCTTGTGACTCATAGTGACCCTATGTACAACAGCCCTAAACTCTGCTCTGTCCCATGCCAGTCGCACTGTCTCTGACACTCCCATCCCCAATTACCCCAGTCACTGAATCAATCCACCTCATAGAGGGTCTTCCCCTCCTGCACTGTCCCTCCACCCTCCCAAGCATGATGGCCTTCTCCAGGGACTGGTCCCTCCTTACAACATGTCCAAAGTGAATCCTTGCCTCCAGGGAGCTGCACTCAGGTTCAAATAACAGTGCTCTTTGCTCCTAACCTTCCGAACAAAAACGACGACATCATGCCCCACCCCATGCTGACAATACAATGGCTTTGACAGACTTTCCTTCTGTAAGATCCTTGCATTGTCAATGCTGTCTCTCTTCATGGATTCGAGAACACTTTTCCGGTCTAACCACATCGCCTTTCACACTGCTTCCAGATGCAGACAGGCCAGCGTGTTGAATTTTTCTTCCTTCCTGGCCAGCGCCTCTCCTTCTCCTAAGAGGTTAACTAGCTTCTTCCTTCAGCGCTGCCCCAGGCCCACCTTTTCGCATTTCTCCTTGAAGGAGTTTAATCTATAGTCCTGGGGCCTTAAATTCTATAAGCTTTTGAGCCCAAAAAGGAAGGCGCTTGTCTTCCCGTCTTTCATTTCTGAGATCACAGAGCAGAACGCTGCCTCTCTCGGCCCTTTCCAGGGTGGAATTCATACGGGGAGTGGGAGCTGGGCCTGCCAGTTCCAGAGGGGGCTTTGGATGTGGCTGGTTTAATGAAATCCTGGCTTTTGCTGGCCTGTGTTATAAAGCACTCTCATTCACTCCTTGGCTGCCTTTTCCCTTTGTGCCAGGAAACCAGAGGACTAACAAAAATAGAAATGAAGACACTTATTCCCACCTTGTGATCCTTGGTTACCACGACTTTGAGAGGAAAAGAGAACATTGAGAATGTCCATGACCAAGAATGGTTCTGAAGATCTCAGAGCCGCGCAAGACGAAACACAATTGTCACACTCATATATTGAACTCCCATTTCCATAAACTCCTTTGTTAAGCCGCTTAATTAGCGATTGTTGTGGTTGTCGAGTACTGTCGGGTCAGAACCAACCCATAGCTGACCTTCTTGCCGGTTTTTGGAGGCAGTAATTCACACAGGAGGAGATTGCCCATCATTCTCTCACAGAGCAGCTAGTGGATTTGAACCGCTTACCTTTACATTGGCAGTGTAGTTCTTTACCACCAAGCCACCAGAGCATGGTAACTTGAGAATTGCTTCTGTGTCTCAGCTTCTTTCCCCTGCTGCTTGGTGTGAACTCAAGACATCAGCTGCTGTCTCCCCAAAAGGCAGGAATCCCAGCCTCCACGTTCAGGCTCGGCCATGCATACACAGTTGAGACTCAGTTCTGTGGACTGAATGAAGATCTGAGTCTGTGGGTATTTGATTCCCTGGTACCTTTGAGCTCAGATTGAGTTTCAGGAAAGAGCTGTTTGCTTAAGCATAAAATAAGGGGGGGTCAGAATTGACTCAACTGCCCCAAGTGTTAATTGGAGGTTGAGGTGTAGGAGAGGTTAAGGAGTCGCTGAAAGTAGAGGTTCACCCAGAAGCGCCTCAGAAGAGAAGCCTGGTGAACTACTGCAGAAAAGTCAGCCATTGGAAACCCCATTGGGACACAGGTCTACGCTGGACTACATGGACGTCCCGGGTCAGCACCAGTGACGAGTTGATAGGCTGGTGCGCACGAGTAAGGGAGCAGTAAGGAATGTTGTGGCATGGAGTGTAGCAATAGGAGAGACCTGTTATCAGCCGTAGATACTGGACCAGACCCAGGAAGAGCCAAAGTCTGCAAGAGGACTGTCCCCCAGAAGCTGCAGTTGTGGGGGTAGAGCGCACAGTCTGCATCCTGATGGCCACCAGGAAGACAGCGAGGAAGACACACTCTGTCCCCTTCCTTCCCTGCCTTCGAGCTCCTGCTGGCACCTCCCGTTGGCCACATCCACGCCAGCCAGCAAGGGGGCCCCTGTGATGAAGTTCCTACTGGTCAGACTTAGGGAGCAGGTGAGGACAGAGAAGAGGAATAAGGGATCCTTCTCAGACCCGGGGCAGCGCATCAGGCGGGACACAAGGTTGTACGCGGGAAGGTTAAATGGTTCCA